TAACAACGTGACAATGGGATAACGGGATAACAACGTGACAATGGGATAACGGGATAACAACGTGACAATGGGATAACGGGATAACAACGTGACAACGGGATAACGGGATAACAACGGGACAACGGGATAACGGGACACCGGAGCTGGGACGGGATGGGACGGGCCCGTCGGGATCGGCATTCCCACGCGCCCGCCGCTCCCGGCCGGCAGGAGAAGGCGGCGGTGCTGGGCGCGCTGGCGGAGAAGGCGCGGCTGACGCAGGAGATGCTGAACCGCACGCCCGGCATGCGCTGCAACCCCGTGCAGGGCGCCATGTACGCCTTCCCCCGCATCGAGATCCCGGCGCGCGCCCTCGACGCCGCCAAGGTCCGGCGGCGCCCACACTGGGATGGGCGGGAGCGAACTGGGATGGGCGGGAGCGAACTGGGATGGGCGGGAGCGAACTGGGATGGGTGGAATCCCAACTGGGATGGGCGGGAGCCAAACTGGGATGGGCGGGATCCCAATTGGGATGGGTGGGAGGCAACTGGGATGGGTGGAATCCCAACTGGGATGGGTGGGAGCCAAACTGGGATGGGCGGGATCAAACTGGGATGGGGGGAGCCAACTGGGATGGGCGGGAGGACACTGGGATGGGCGGGATCCCAACTGGGATGGGCGGGAGCAAACTGGGATGGGCGGGATCGAACTGGGATGGGGGGAGCCAACTGGGATGGGCGGGAGGACACTGGGATGGATGGAATCCCAACTGGGATGGGTGGGATCCCAACTGGGATGGGTGGGAGCGAACTGGGATGGGTGGGATCCCAATTGGGATGGGTGGGAGGCAACTGGGATGGGCGGGAGCAAACTGGGATGGGCGAGAGGCACCTGGGATGGGTGGGAGGCAACTGGGATGGGCGGGAGCCAAACAGGGATGGGCAGGAGACAAACTGGGATGGATGGAATCCCAACTGGGATGGGCGGGAGGCAACTGGGATGGGTGAGATCTGAACTGGGATGGATGAGATCCCAACTGGGAGATGTTGGAATGGATGGGATCCCAACTGGGATGGATGGGATGGGTGGGATCCCAACTGGGATGGGCGGAAGACAACTGGGATGGGCGGAAGACAACTGGGATGGGCGGAAGACAACTGGGATGGGCGGGAGGACACTGGGATGGGTGGGATCCCAACTGGGATGGGCGGGATCCCAACTGGGATGGGCGGGATCCCAACTGGGATGGATGGGAGCCAACTGGGATGGGCAGAATCCCAACTGGGATGGGCAGGAGGCAACTGGGATGGATGGAATCCCAACTGGGATGGATGGGAGCCAACTGGGATTGGGGGGAGACAACTGGGATGGGCGGGAGTGAACTGGGATGGGCGGGAGGCAACTGGGATGGGCGGGAGTGAACTGGGATGGGTGGAATCCCAACTGGGATGGATGGGAGTGAACTGGGATGGGAGGGAGCGAACTGGAATGGATGGGATCCCAACTGGGAGATGTTGGAATGGGCGGAATCCCAAACTGGGAATGTCGGAATGGGCGGAATCCAAACTGGGATGGACGGGATCCCAACTGGGATGGACGGAGTCCGAACTGGGATGGGCAGGATCCCAACCGGGAGATGGTGGGATGGATGGGATCCATCCCAGGAGTTTTGGGATCCACTGGGATCCATCCCAGGAGTTTTGGATCCATTTGGATCCATCCCAGGAGTTTTGGGATCCCTCCTGATCCGCGTGGTCCCCGCGGGCTGGATCCCGTTTTTTTGGGATCCCTCGGGATCCCTCCCGATCCGCGTGGTCCCCGCGGGCTCAGATCCTGTTTTTTCGGGATCCCTCGGGATGGATCCCGATCCACGTGGTCCCCGCGGGCTCGGATCCCGTTTTTTTGGGATCCCTCGGGATGGATCCCGATCCGCGTGGTCCCTGCGGGCTGGATCCCGGTTTTTTGGGATCCCTCGGGATGGATCCCGATCCGCGTGGGCCCCGCGGGGTCGGATCCCGTTTTTTTGGGATCCCTCGGGATGGATCCCGATCCGCCTGGTCCCCGCGGGGTCAGATCCCGTTTTTTTGGGATCCCTCGGGATGGATCCCGATCCGCGTGGTCCCCGCGGGCTGGATCCCGTTTTTTTGGCATCCCTCGGGATGGATCCCGATCCGCGTGGTCCCCGCGGGCTCGGATCCCGTTTTCCCGACCCCGCGGCCCGTCCGGAATTCCCAGGAGAAGAAGCAGGCCCCGGACATGTTCTTCTGCATGCGGCTCCTGGAGGAGACCGGGATCTGCGTGGTGCCGGGCAGCGGCTTCGGCCAGAAGGAGGGCACCTACCACTTCCGGTGGGTTCCCGGAATTCCCATCCCGGAATTCCTGATCCGGGGG